AATGATTCGGCAAAACACACAGCGATATAACATGCATTGAACCGATCATTTTGCCTCCATCCATCCGGGCATGCTGAAATAAATTTTAGTGATTTCCCTAAGAAATAATAGATTCAAGATAATAAATAAATAAATTCAAGTAATTCAGCCTGGTGGAATGGAATTGAATAAAGAGAGAATCGTGCAGTTTTAACGTTCCTCATATCTCGCAAAAGTCTGGGCGCATCTTTGCATTGACTTGATTTAAAGCACTCATCCTCAACTTCACATGGCTTTACGCTATTCTCAAATTTCACTCCGTTAACTTCACTCCTGTCATAAGTGCAAGTTTTTTATTTCTTGAAAAAACATAGAAAATATCTTGGACATTTTCCAATCACCTGCAGGTGCTAGTGGATCCCGCAAACATCGGCCTGCTACGCAAACGTGATGCGGTGCACAAACACCACCTGGACAATCTGAAGAAATTTTTGTGATTTCATTCGAGACGAAATTATAGGTTATCTTTTAAAAAATCTGCTAGAAGGAACCAATCAAACTTACCAATAAAATCCAATTTGCATTCATTGCGGAAACAGGATTCGAAAACACGGCACTGATTGTGCATTCTGCAAGCTAAAATACGATTTAATATTCACTCCCATAATCACCGATAGCGATATATTTATCGTTATTGAGAATTTCAAGCGACTTTCTCATGAACGAGTCGCAATTTGCCGATGCTTTTAAAACATTTCAAATTCTAAGAAAGGAGTTATACGTACCAAGAAATGGCCGATAAGGATAGAAAGTGGCATTCACACAGAAAATAGCGAATATTACGAAAAGTACTTGGGAGAAGAACATTACTGCACGTCCAGCTAGATTGAGCAATGATTTGCGCCTTGATAAAATTGATAAATTTATACGCATTTTGTTTATTGTTTCAGCTGATTTATTTATTAGTATTTGTTATTTATTCAATCAGCTAAATGTGCTATTGCGATTCTTTCTTGATTTCGAGTAAGTAAAATTTTTAAATGAAATGAAAAATCAAACAAATCAACGGAAAGAAAAGATTCAACCATAAAGTGTCGCATCGACGATAATTGAAAAATAACACTAAACTCGCAACTTTAGATTTGAGATTTCTCTTTTTTCCTTAGTTCAATTTTGCTTATCGCTACTCACCAAACTTTTTATTTCCAGGGGAACGCTGAATGAATATCACTGCTAAGCCCAAGCATAAGCTTAAGCATTAAGCAAGATGTGATTTTCACTCATTCTAGTTTTGATGTTTGAATTCCACATTGATCATTGTAAACCATTTTTAAACGCTATAGGAGGCAGCGATCGAAAAACTTAGATGATGGAACTTTTTTTATTCAGCATAAATTACTAGAATAAATTGCCAGCTGAAGCGATTTCTGCTGTATGCATGTAATTAGTGAATTATACGAATTATAAATTATATACAAAATACTACAATCCTTAGCCTCCTTAACCTTAGCCTCAACAAGAATTTTTTGAGCTTTTTTAGAATTTTAACTACTACTTATTGTTATATTCATGACTCAGGCTTCGCTTGGTAATTTTTTAGAAATGTGCGAAATAATAAACCAAATATAAGTTCAACAATTCTAAATTGAAACCTATCTCCAGCTCTATCAGTTTTGCCAAGTGATGGATCCTAACAATAAGGCCGGAAATAAATTTGGAAAATTTTGGTCTTGAATTTAGATTTATAAGCTTTTTCGACATTGCATGGTACTGAACTATAAAATTAAATTATACCATATTTTATTATAAATTCTTTAATGTGTTTAATATGTTTTTATTCACCGAATTATGTTTTGCGCTAAAGTTCGAAAATTTTAATGCGTTTCATTTACTGATTCAGCTGATTTCTTGTCAGTCAGCAATATATATTATTATAGATTATTTTTTCTTCAATTTACGCAAGTAAAAATTTTTTGATCAAAAGAAAAATCCATTAAGAAAAAACAGAAGCGAATGAGTAAAGTGACACCGGGAAACAGAGTATATCGTAAATTTAATGTCCTTTGATAAACCTGATTAACTGACAATTATATTAATACTGTTCCATTTAACATATTTAACCATTAACAACAATCCAATTTCTAATGCTCCTCAATCAACGATAAATGAAAATTGGAAATCAGTTCTACACTATGTTCAACAGTTCTGGAAGATATCGCGTCTACAGTACTTTACCTTGCTTCTACTTGCTTCTACGACGCGTTGCTAACTACAATACTGTACACCATTTTCTGAAATCAACAGAGCACCAGTGAAAGAAGAAATCGTCCTCATTTTCGATTCCAATCATTTTAGATTCTCTGGAAAATATCGCGAGTCCTAGACGTGTTTTTAGGCAACGTCATTCTGTCTGCCACATTACTTCTTCCAAATGGAAACCAAATAAAACGACCCATTCCTATGCTCTATCCATTTCAAGTGACGAATCCTAACAGTAAGTTCGGAGATTCGGCGATACGAATATCGCAATACGACAATAGAAATTTCGATGTTTTATTTTCGATTAAATTCGAATTTGCTGGTGAGAATGTTGGGGATGACCCGAAATATGTGAAATTATGTAATGTCTTTTCTTCTGTTTTTATTAGGATCGAATTTGAGGCTAAGCTGACCTTCGTAAATATCGTTATTTAATTATAGAGCGTTGGGGCTTTTTATACTCTTCTTCCATTCGCGCTTTATTGTGCACTCTATTTTTATTCGATGTGTTTGCGCACATAGTTCCACTGGCTACACGCGTCTCCAAATGGTCTTCAAAAAGGAGAAAAATGAATATTTTTTTCGTTCCAATCTCATCTGAATTACTCGACGAATTGCAAAATGATTCGAATCGCGTAAATATTTGCCTCTCGTAAAAGCAAAAGCATATAATAAAGCACGTAAATTTTTTTGGAGTAGTAAATAAGTAGAGAGCAATTTATGATGGGAAAAAAATACTAATTTTTAAATTAACTAATTTAAATATTAAATAAGGTCATTCAACATGTAATATTTTTCGTCATACTGAACATTATTGAAGAGCTACGCTCAAATGTCAAATGTTAAGCAAAGAAGTGAAGGTCAATGGAAAGCTGATGCAAGGTCACGACTGACCTCAAATAGACCTAATATAAATTTAAGATTAGGAACATAAACCCCATTGTGTAAGTGATGATTATAGGGAACTAGTAAAAGCAGTTGTACTGTTCGCGGTAGCGAGGTAAGGAGGGGTTGAGATTTTTCGGGCCTTTTTTTGAGAGATTTTGTTTTGCATCGCAGCTATACTACTCCTTATTTGAACATTATCTACACTTTTTATAGTGAGCAGTGGATCGTGCAAAATTATATATTATTTTATCTTATTTTATCAGCATTTTATCATTTTTTTTATTTGAGTAAAGATTTAATCGTCTAAGTGAGGAAGTTTTGTTCCTTATTGCTTTTGTGCAAATAGGAAACATCAGTAAATATGCATCAAAAAATAAATCTGCTTGGCAAGCAAGTCAGCCATAATCAACAATTTGACGAAGCGAGTGATTATTCAATTACATTAATAACTGTTCTTCTTTATAGAGGTATTTTAGGCTCATTTTGGTCCACAAATCGTATATTTTTTTTGTGTATTGTTCGGAGAATTCATTGAACCATGAAACATTTATCAGTGTTGAGTTCGGCACTAAACTATTCGAATTTTATTTTTCAAAATTTTTTAAACCAACAGCAAAGGTAATGTTCTAAATTTTTTTCCTTACAACTTTTATTGATATTGATAAGTAAAATTAAAAATGGTTGCCATTTCTTATTGGACTTGTTACATTAGCTATTCAGTCCATTAAAAGCTGATGCCTTCACGACAGTTTGGTATAGAAATATAAGTAATCATCAGTACCATTCGGTTTTTTGAATGAGTGGTAGGCTTAGTCGTGCTGGAAATTGAATCTGAATTTTCATTTTGAAGGAAACAATAAATAACGATGACCCAGCTTTTTTTGAGATTGATGTTAGTTCGAGTTCATAAATTTTTATAAACTTTATGATTCGAAATTTTGAAACTTTAAGTCGATTAGTGGCAGTAGAACGGTTCGGTAGATACTTATTCTAATTCTCACTTCTTGAATTGAAAGATTGAAAGATTTTTTTAACTTATTTTTGTTTTTTTCATAATAATTAATCTAAAAAAATAGATGGTGCTCAGAGCTCTTCTGCTTGTTGGTACCATCAGAAATTTCCACTAATCAGTTATTACTTGCCGGTAGAAATACAGATAACTGGCCAACACCTGGACTTTTTGGTTCCATATGGGGTTCAGGAAATAAAGACTGGTGATCAGCAGCATACCGTGTCGCGCAGCTTTCCTAGCTTTTTTTTATTAAATTATTCAACTAAATATTGCTCAATGAGCAGAAAAAGACCCTATGTTGTATAATCTATTCAATAATGTGGATTAATTTATTGTCCCTATTTCCCAGTAATTATATTTTCTACGCCGAATTGATTTGCTTTTTTTTGCAGATTGCTTTTACAAAGGACAAGTTTATATCTATGCAAGCCAAATCGTTCGTCATTTTGCAGTTCATCGAATAATTCGGAAAAGAATGAAAAGAAGAAATTTTCGATTAGAAAGGATTCGTCTGATTTAACGAGTAAGATTTTTTACTTTTTTAAAATAATTATTTGGATATTTGTAGTAAATAAAAGCAAACGGTAATTATTTTATCTTATATACTAAAGATATTTTTATAGTAATTTTGACTATATTTTGTCTAAATAAGCCATAATTCGTGCATCATCTGGCAGGTATTCCACCTATTCGTTCCAAATCTTTCCGGTCTGTATCAGTTCAGATCTTAATTGGCCCACTTTGCTCTTGTCGCCATCCGCTACAAGGTTCAGCAACTAACGAAATATATGTCAACTCTTGTGGCAGATGACGCGATGTTACCTGACCAGCGAAGATGATGCTGTTATGGCACTATTAATGCAAGTGGTGTTTAAGCGAAGCTGGGCATTTTGGATCGCGCTCATTTGAAAATTATATATTTTAATATTTTTGATTTCAATAGGTGTGCAGTTTTTTAAAAAAATAGGAGCGATTGTACAGAAGGCGCTCAGTGAAAAAGGCGCTCAGCACGATCGTCCAACTTTCGATTCTGTTCCTAAAGAATTTGATGATTTTCTGAAAGAGGTGGCTGAGTGGAAGGTTCTTATTTCTTTCTTTCTTAAAATTCCTTAATGTCGGAAACTTTAGGCTAATGAATGGAATTATACTAAACTAGATCGAAATTTTTTATAACAGAATTTTCTAAATGTTCGCGTTTTATTTAAAAATATCAGATGTGATTTATTCTTGATTTATCTTCTTCTATGGTGATATTTTCCGTGAATACAATAAGTCTAAGTATTTGGCTTTTTTTGTATGAAAATGCAAGGACAGCTTTTGCAGGGGAAACATATGCACGTTTTGGCTGAAATAGAAAACAGCGGACAGTGCGGCGAAAAACAAGTTGAGAATGCGAAAAGTTATGCGAAAAGCAATGAAATATTAGAGGTCGGTTTAATTATGGAAAATTACTTTTCACTGAGCCAAGCGAGTGAAAGGATAATTTTTGCTAAAACGTTCAACTTTTAAATTAGTTTCTTCCAAAAAAATAAGAGTAATTGTACGATTTACTAATATTTTATTCAGATTGCTGATATTTTCGATCAAATATACTTCGAGGAAAATGACTGTAAGGAATTTAAAAAACATTTTGAAATTGCCAAAACTGCTTTAGAAGAAATCTTTGACAAGCATGGACTGCAGAAAATCAGTCCTTTAGGCAAAATGTTTGATCCAACCATGCACGATGCCATCCGTCTTCCTGATGAACAAGTATATTTTAAAATTATTATAATAGTAACGTTTTAAAAAAATTAGTGCTTTTCTGTAGTTTTCAGTGGATTTCACTTGGAAGAATTAGAATATTTAACAAAGGATGTAGTTTTTATTTACTTACTTATTTTATAAAAAGTGAGCAACAAAAAGTGACCAATTTAAGCAGTGAGCGCCATGTATTTTAAAAAATTAAAAAAGTAAAAAGTAAAGGCAAAAGAGTTGACGAAGCAAAAATGGAGAAGCATAAGGAAGATGGGAGGAAAAACTTTGGGGATTTTAAAGTCTTTATGAAAATTTGAATTGAGTCATAAGTGATCTAACCTGATTTTTTTTCTTATGATTGGTTACAGGTGGAGATAAATATCATATTTCTGGGCGATTTATTCCAATAATTCAACGGAAGTAGATTAAGATTTGGCTTGCTTTTGCAAACATAGTTAAGTAATTTTAAGTAATTCTAGCCCATTGTTCCGAGTTAAGTTAAAACTTAAAGTCATTATAATTATTGCAATCAAAATTTGCATACTCAAATATTTCACTTTTGTATAAACATTCCAATTGATTTACCTCATTTGGAATAATTTGGAATAGAGTGGTGATAGAGTCAATGTTATATTCAGGATGAGGGTTAACTTATATACTTGAATGAGAAGAGCCTCAGTTTTATTTCGAAAGGTCTTAGAGGATAAATTGTGTCGTCTATTTTGGCCTTTCCTTTTTATCAGTCGGCTTGAGAATTCTGTGGAACCTCCTTTCGCAAAATTAAAATAAATTTTTTATTTTCATTTAACGATATTTCTTTTCTATTTCATCTGTAATTATCATAGAAAATTTAGATGGGATTGGGGACAATTTATGTGGCTAAAGTGGTGAGGCCCGGTTACTCGTTTAAAGGCTATCTAATTCGCGCTGCAAAAGTTGCTGTCATCCAATGTACCGAATTGTTCCTGTGTCTTGACTGATATTTCATCCACCGCATGTGAAATTATAGTTGATGATCGATCAAAAGTTTCTTAATATTCACTTTTTCTATACACCTTTTTGATTATTTTTCAATTTAATGTTTTCTTATTTTTCTGTTATTATTTTCTATGAATAAAAAATTTTTTGCTGCGATTTACGATTAATTACGATCGTACAATTTCTACGTTTTTACGTTAAATCGAGAAATCGTTTTTTTCTGTTTTATAGATATTCAGTGGTGCTTTTCTCGTAATCAGTCGCTGAGTTTTCGAAATTTGTGAGTAATTTATTATAACAACGAGTTCATAGAGACTCCAACCGCTCTGGAAAATTCGTTAATTTTTTTAGCGTTAATTTTCACTGTTGGCATATTCTAAATTTTATGGCCGACTATATATGATAAGATAATTGGAACTACCATCTCTCGCAAAATATCTGGCATTTGTATTTTGTAAATATCACAAGTATCTGTACTGAAAAGGAGTTTGGTTATTTCTAATTCTATAGCGAGCTCATTTTCGAAGATTTCTGGATTTCGTACTTTCAATATTTAACAGTTGGGTGGAGAATAATTTAAGATTTCGTTCATGGTTTTACTAAGCTTAACATTTTGTATCAAAATTATTATTGCTGAACTTGGAAATAATATATATGAATTGTTTTACACTATTTATTGTGGGTTAAGATGGAATTTTAGTCAGTTTTTGTTTAATGGTGTCATTTGATTTGGCCGGAGCTGCGTAATCTCCAAAGGATATATAGGTTTAGGATTTCTAAGTGATATGTTGCCCCAGCTAATATTATGAGTCCGACCTCTATCGCCGCAGAATATCTATCGTTAAAATGCGGATTATGCTGGCAATCCGGATTTTTTATCTCCGGAATGGTTTTGAAACGATTTTATTTTACTGGCATTTAATATTTTGACCGGGTTTTATGACTTGTTGTACGATTATTGATTTAATTGATTTAATTTTGAAACAGCTGAGCTTTTTAAAAAGGTTCTAGGTTAGACTACTAATTATTATAAAGAAGTGATCGGAATAAAATGAAAAGGCCAAGTGTATTCCAAAATGCGTCCTAGTGACCAGATAATTATCCACTGAAATTACGTACTATTAGATTTTTTTAGTTTTTAACAATTTTACTTTCATTATGAATAGTTTAGAAATAGAAAAATGGGCAAATAAGTTACTGGAAAAAATTTTCTACTAGAAGAGCACCCGTGTTTCTGGTTAGGCTTCACTTCGCTTCGAGATAGATGAAGTTTTATTAGAGAACCGTTTGGTGACAGTGCCAGTCGTTAACAACAATTTTAAAAGAGATGTACTTAAATCACCACGAATGGAACCTTAATCAATAGCATCAGTGCTTCAAAATGCGAGCAGCAACCTTATTTCTTTTTGAACAACAACACAAACGAGTATTTGGCGTGCCACTGTTGTTAGCGACCACTGTTGTTTAGAAGTTTTTTCCTCAAATACTTCACTTCACTGCTAAGAACCTCTAAACATACTCGCAGCCGGCGGAAAATGCCCAACCAGAGCAGACACTAACCACTTATTTTACATACTGATTAATAAAATTGGTTATAAAAATAAGTTGTTCAATAAATTTAGTAATAATTTCGTAATAGAATTTGTTATTTCACCACTCGCAGTTCATGAAAATTCAATTGGCATTGAATCTTACGCACTTCTTTGTTCTCTCGTTTACTCAAATTTTTGTTATTCTCTAAAAAGAACAACGAATTTCAAAAGTAGAAATCATATGATAGAAAAGAAAGGCAAACTTCATCATAAGCGAATTAAAGATCCATTATATTTTCAAATTACAGAAAGGTCATCGAGGAATCGTCTTCTGCAAAACTCGACTAATGGGCAACACCGACGAATCTTTGATAAAATAAATCTGGTTTTATCTGGTAACACACGACAAGCATACTTCATGAAATCTTTATGAATGATTTTTTCTTATATTTCAAATGAGCAGAAAATTCTTTTTTTAAGAAGAAGAAAAAGCAATCGTTCAAATCGCAAAAGTTTTAAAAAATCTCGTAGCTTAACTTTAAATAACTTTAATAAAATTTAAACAGTTTCTTAAGTTTTGATATAGTAATGTAGAATGGCTCAGTTGGTACTTTCATTTCGGAAAGCCGAAGCTAAGCTCACACTCCTGGCAAGAATAAACCTGTTTTAGAAGTCTGAGCGGAACTCGCATACTTCAGCCATACTTCTGTCCCCAAATGATTCCCTAATTTAAGGATGAGAGCCTTTCATCAATAAATCACTTGGAAGATATAAGCACAAATCCCCAGAATCACCTGTATTTCACCGATAATGGATTTAACTCACATCAAGAACGCAATAATCGAAATAATTAGAATTTATAGTTATATTTATTTAAACCAGTCAGAGGACGACAAGCGCCATATGCTTATATTAATAAGAACAAAATAAGGTGCCAAATGAAAAGAAATTAGTGACGGCGATATACGATGCAAACGGAAAATGGCCACTAATAGTGTAGAGAGAAGTAATATAAATAAAGGGGAATTACAAAATAATAATACAAGTCGAACTGAATGTATAAGGTGATCGGGTGATAAATAATCAAGATTTCAAACTATTTTCATAATGTGAATAATATCATGGATGATAAGATCTAATCTTTTTTTGAAAATAGAGTGCAGTTACGTCGTTCGGCAGCTTATTCCAGCAGTTAATGGTACGAAAAAAAAATCATGCGCCCTTAGTTTTGCATTTGATTTTAGCCCATTAGACGCTGTTGGATTCAAATCAAAAATTCTAACGAATCTAATTTTGGAAATCTGATCTAATTTGATATAATCATATAGAATTTTACATGTTTGATAATTTTGTATGTACAATTTGAATCTTTCTTAATTCGACGAATTGAAAATAAGTCTAGGTTATATGGTTGATAATTACCACTGCTATTAGGGATCCTTTCTGGAGTACAATTAATTCACTTGACTCGTAGACTCGTAGTACTGTGGAAATAGCAGATTGTATTGTATACGCCGAACAAAATGAAATATCGTCATAAAAAGCTTTGATTTCTGTTTTTAAATGACCGAAAAATAAAATTTTGTATTCTTGAGGACTTTTTTATTGTGGTTTTGCAGTGAAGATCAAAATCAAGACAAGATTTTCATCCACAGCTATGCCAAGACCTGAGATATTCGAGGCTCATTCTTCAGCTAATTATATTGCCATTAATAATATTACCTTTAATTCAGTCGAAGGAATATTACGCTCGACGATCCTTGCTTTCTGAATTGGATTCGATGATTTTCGAATTTATTTGTATGTTTATTCATGGCAAAATTTTTATCCAGTTGAAGAAACGAAAATATGCAAAAATGAAAGAAAAGATCATCGAATCAGTTAAAAGCGTGGGTGAATTATTATAATACCGTGAAAAGGCTTTTTGGCCAGGAAACCGATCATTTAGCCATTCATTTATTGGTAGATTGATTATTCTTAACGCAGCAGGTGAAATTATTTTTTAATAACCCATTCTATAGTATAAATTCGATCCGGAAATGAACAAAAGTTTATACTTAAAAAGTACTTTTGCTTATGTTGTAATTTGCTTATGTTTTATGAATATGAAGCTTATCCCATATTTTTATTGATTCAATTAATTTTATTTGATTTTGATAATGAAAACACATTGAAAAATTTTCATATCAGAACCATATAGTGGTATAATTTAATTTTATAGTTCAGTACCATGCAATGTCGAAAAAGCTTATAAATCTAAATTCAAGACCAAAATTTTCCAAATTTATTTCCGGCCTTATTGTCCGGATCCATCACTTGGCAAAACTGATAGAGCTGGAGATAGGTTTCAATTTAGAATTGTTGAACTTATATTTGGTTTATTATTTCGCACATTTCTAAAAAATTACCAAGCGAAGCCTGAGTCATGAATATAACAATAAGTAGTAGTTAAAATTCTAAAAAAGCTCAAAAAATTCTTGTTGAGGCTAAGGTTAAGGAGGCTAAGGATTGTAGTATTTTGTATATAATTTATAATTCGTATAATTCACTAATTACATGCATACAGCAGAAATCGCTTCAGCTGGCAATTTATTCTAGTAATTTATGCTGAATAAAAAAAGTTCCATCATCTAAGTTTTTCGATCGCTGCCTCCTATAGCGTTTAAAAATGGTTTACAATGATCAATGTGGAATTCAAACATCAAAACTAGAATGAGTGAAAATCACATCTTGCTTAATGCTTAAGCTTATGCTTGGGCTTAGCAGTGATATTCATTCAGCGTTCCCCTGGAAATAAAAAGTTTGGTGAGTAGCGATAAGCAAAATTGAACTAAGGAAAAAAGAGAAATCTCAAATCTAAAGTTGCGAGTTTAGTGTTATTTTTCAATTATCGTCGATGCGACACTTTATGGTTGAATCTTTTCTTTCCGTTGATTTGTTTGATTTTTCATTTCATTTAAAAATTTTACTTACTCGAAATCAAGAAAGAATCGCAATAACACATTTAGCTGATTGAATAAATAACAAATACTAATAAATAAATCAGCTGAAACAATAAACAAAATGCGTATAAATTTATCAATTTTATCAA